AAACAGAATCTCAGAGGGGATATGATAGTATTATACAAATATATCCAGGGCCAATACAAACCATTATCTGGAAATCTATTCATAAACAGAACTATAGATAAGACTGAGGTCATGTATTTAGACTGAAACAAAAGGAGATTTTGTCAATGGCAAAGGAAACTTTTTTTAGAGTAACATTTAGAGTAACAACATTAAGGAATTCTCCGCCATAAAGAGGTGGTTTGATCAAAGTCAATACAGATGTTTAAACAGCAATTGGATAAATGCTTGCAAAAACATAATATACAGGGATATAAAAAAAAAAACCCAGTCTGAAGCACTTCCAATTTGGTAACAAACTAGGAAAAAAATCCTTCTTGACCCCAAAATAGCAGTCAGATATCTCCTTGGATCAAGCAGCTATTACCCCACTAATTAGAAATTATATCCCTATATGTTATGTTTTTGCAAGTATTTATCCAATTGCTGTTTAAACAACTGTATGGACTCTGATAAAACCACCTCTTCAGGCAGAGAATTCCATATCCTTATTGCTCTTACTGTAAAAAAAACTTTTCTTTGCCTTAGATGAAATCTCCTTTCTTCCAGCCTAAATGTGTGCCCTTGTGTCCTATGTATAGCTCTGTTTATGAATAGATTTCCAGATAATGGTTTGTACTGGCCCCGAATATATTTGTATAATGTTATCATATCACCTCTGAGCCGCCGTTTTTGCAAACTAAAGAGATTTAAATTTTGTAACCTTTCTTCGTAACTAAAATGCTCCATTCCTTTTATCAGTTTTGTAGCTCATCTCTGCACTTTTTCTAGTGCTATGATATCCTTTCTTTAGAACAGGTGACCAAAATTGCACAGCATATTCAAGGTGTAGTCTTATCAGCGATTTATAAAGAGGCAAAATTATATCTTCATCCCGAGAATTTATGCCCCTATTTATACATGTCAAAACCTTACTGGCCTTAGCAACCACAGATTGACATTGCATATTGTTGTCTAATTTGTTGTCTATAACAATTCCCAAATCCTTCTCATGTGTCGTTATCCCTAATTGACTACCACTTAGGGTGTAAGTTGCTTGTACAGTCTTAACTCCGAAGTGCATAACTTTGCATTTCTCTACATTATTTTTCATCTGCCATTTTAGTGCCCAGTCCCCCAATCTATCTAAATCCCTATGCAGTAAAGCAATATTCTGCTCACATTTTATTACTTTACAAAGTTTTGTGTCATCTGCAAACACTAAAACACAGCTTTCAGTGCCTATTGCAAGATCATTTATAAATATGTGAAATAGAAGCAGTCCCAAAACAGAACCCTGAGGGACACCACTTACCACTTTTGTCCAGCCTAAAAATTTACCATTAATGACAACTTGTTGTACTCTATCCTTAAGCCAATGTTCTACCCAAGAACAAGAATATTAATCTAGACCAATTTATTTTAGTTTGAAGACTAACCTATTGTGAGGAACCGTATCAAATGCCTTGGCAAAATCCAAGTAGATCACATCCACTGCAACACCCTGATCTACACTCCTACTTACGTCTTCATAGAATGCAATTAGGTAAATATTGACATGATCTATGTTTCATAAAATCATGCTGATTATTGCTAATAACAAAGTTCTTCCCAATGAATTCCTGAATATTATTCCTTAATAGCCCTTCAAATATTTTCCCAGTCACAGAAGTTAAGCTCACAGGTCTATAATTTCCAGGCAAGGAGTTTGAACCCTTTTTAAATATAGGAACGACATCTGCCTTCCTCCTGTCCTCCACTACAATACCTGAAACAAAAGAATCTTGAAAGATTAAATACAGAGGTTCACTTATTTCCCCACTTAGCTCCTTAAATAGTCGTGGGTGAATACCGTCAGGCCCCGGAGCTTTATTTACATTAATTTTCTTTAACTGCTGTAGCACCTTGTCTCGAGTCATCCAATCACAAGTTATCTGCAAGTTTTTTTGCAGCAAGCCTTTGCAAATCTCTTGCTTTAGGATCCTCATTAATATGTACTGAAGAAAAATAGTTATTTAAAATGTCTGCCTTTCCCAGGTCTTCATTAGCTAACAGACCCATCTCTGTTTCCAGTGTACCTGTAGTTATTTTTTTGTTTTTGTTTGGTTTTGCATTCTTTGGCTATTAATTTCTTATTTTCTAGCTTAGCCACTTTAATTGACTTTTTCCAAGCATTATTGGCTTCCATATATCATAGGATGCCTCTGATTTGTCCGATTTAAATAGTTTAAATTTCCTTTTCTTATTTTTAATCTCTTGTTTTACTTCTCTACTAAGCCACATTGGTTTCAATTTGTTTATTTTATATTTGCATACACTCAAATGTAAAATCTAAAATACAATGTACTTAGTTTGTTGCAATAAAGATTATGCTTAAGCATATGTTGTACTCTTATATCTATTAGTGTATATGAAATATACCTATCCAATTAACACATATTCTGTGAGTCTCTCTCAGATCTCTATGACATAGCCTTTGCAGCAACTTTTGCTAGCTCCAATTGTGAAAAAATGAATGAGTCACAAAGTCTGTTTCAACATGAGGGACCTCATGATCAGGGATCAGCTCTTTATCCTTACTGAAACCTAGTAGATCTTTTGCTTCTTTCTATGTTTTCAAATGTCCTTTTGTCTGAAACTAGGTTAACACTCTTCTGCTCAATAATGAAATCAAAGATTTTTCTCTGTAAAAAAGCACTAGGACTAACCATTATTGATGGACAACGTTTACTGTCACACGTAATAAGTAGAGTTGAGCGGACACCTGGATGTTCGGGTCCGGTGGGTTCGGCCGAACTTTGAAAAAAAGTCTGGGTTTGTGATTGAACTTAACCCAGAACTTGACCCAGAACCCGAACCCCATTGAAGTCAACGGGGACCCGAACTTTTGGACACAAAATGCCTCTAAAAAAGTCCTGGAAAGGGCTAGAGGGCTGCAAAAGGAAGTAAAATTGGGGTAAGAGTAGGACAAGTGCCCTGCAAACAAATGTGGATATGGAAATAACTTAAAATAACATAAAAATTAAAAATACAGCTGAGCCATAAAATAGCACTAGATGGAATCTTTGATTTTAGCTTTGGAAGAACATAAATCAAAATCTAAAGCATGGCTGTCAGGAGGATCACCAGAATTATCCATTTGAGAGAGGGTTGGAGTGCAGGGTATTCTCTTTCATTGTTCAAACTGAGCTCAACTCCTGATGCATGGAGAAAAGGCCTTCACAAGCCTCTGCTATTGTGTACATAGTTTATACTAAGTGACCCATAGGTTGAGGAGGCGGTGACCATGGCGGTGTAGCTGGAAGCAACGGTGGAGGAGGAGGTAGCCAACACTGTTTATTTGTTCTGTTTTTTGTTTTTTGTTTTTTAATTGGGGTAGCCCCCAAAATATTGGGACATATAAAAAAAGAAACTTTTGCGGCCTGCGGTGCATTTCTTGCAGTCCTGATGCATGGAAAAATGCTCAACTCCTGATGCATGGAGAAAAGGCCTTCACAAGCCTCTGCTATTGTGTATATAGTTTATACTAAGTGACCCATAGGTTGAGGAGGCGGTGACCGTGGCGGTGTAGGTGGAAACAGCGGTGGAGGAGGAGGAGGTAGCCAACACTGTTTTTATATATATATATATATTTTTTAATTGGGGTAGCCCCCGAAATATTGGGACATATGAAAAAAAGAAAACTGTTCCGCAGAGCGACTGACCCATGCGTGCTGCATCTGAAACTCCACTATCACCTGCTGCTGCTTGCACAGTCTCATGAGGCGGTGAGCGGGAAGGCCGAAGTTACGCTGCAGCGCAGACAGGCGAGCAGCAGCAGGGTGAGAACGCCGAAAAAGCGCACAGACGGCCCGCACTTTCTGCAGCAGCACTGATATATCTAGGTATACACCGTGTAGGTGGAAGCGGTGGTGGAGGAGGAGGAGGCAACAGGAGGCAAAGCTGTGTACCCAAATAAAGATTGTCAAACGTTGTATCCTGGAACTATGTCCCATCCGGCTACTGGGGAAATGGGTCTGCCCTATTCTAATCAAAGGGGATAGCCTTCGGTTACCCAGGTCCTGCTTCAATTGGCTGCAAGCGGCGGGATCCCATGTCCCTGTTAACAGACCCGTGGACTACAGTGCTCTAAAGCGACCTACACTCCAGGACTTGTGTGGAGCCAGAGGAATAACGCCTGTAACAAGGCCAGATTGACTGCTGTGCTTATGGAGGACGACCAGGCACGCAGTGAGGCAACGAACTCCAGCCAGGGGCTGGAGATGAGGAGGAAGTGCGCAAGGAGGTGGAACGTCGCCTGTAATATCACCGAGAGCCAGCCTCAGAGGAGATTGTCAGCAAGACCTGTTTGGAGGTGCAAGCCTTTGTCCTTGTCAATAGACAGAGGGCGACCTCCATGAACCCAGATGAAGGAAGAAGGGAGCAGAGGGCGCCGGGAAGCACAACCACCCTGGCCCACAAGCTACCATACAATGCCTTCAAAGACTGGGTCACCGTCCTGGCCAGCAAACTAGTGGGGAGGGATATTTACCGGGCTGTACCAGAAGAGCAGATCAGAGACTATCCCTTTATTACACAAATCCTCCTGGCCCGGTATCCTCCTGGCCCGAGCAATACCGCTGAAAGTTTAGGGAGACCCGGAAAGGGGAGAATGATTCCCATGCAGAGTGGGCATGCCGCATCACAAGGGCCACTCAGAACTGGCTCAACTCCCATCAAGCCAAGTTCCCAGAGGAGATCACCCAGCTCGTCATGCTAGAGCACTTTTTCAATGTGCTCCCCAACGACAAGGTGGCGACGCATTCGTATGTCAATCCATATCAACTTTCGATTCCATTTACTGTGCCTACCATGGTGACCACGGGTAACAGGGAATCAGGGTTTGATTCCGTACAGGGACCCTGACAAACGGCTACCACATGCAAGGAAGGCAGCAGGCACGCAAATAACCCACTCCCGACGCGGGGAGGTAGTGACGACAAATAACAATACAGGACTCTTTAGAGGCCCTGTAATTGTAATGAGTCCACTTGAAATCCTTTAACGCTGATCGATTGGAGGGCAAGTCTGGTGCAGAGTGACTGACCCGTGCGTGCTGCAGCTGAAACTCCACTATCGCCTGTTGCTGCTCGCACAGTCTCTCCAGCATGTGCAAGGTGGAGTTCCACCTTGTGGGCACGTCGCATATGAGGCGGTGAACGGGAAGGCCAAAGTAACGCTGCAGCGCAAACAGGTGAGCAGCAGCAGGGTGAGAACGCTGAAAGCACGCACAGCCGCTACAGTGAATGTCAGATCCTGTTCCAAGTTGCGGATCAGTCTGGTGATGGCATCTGGTATTCAGTACTCTTTTTACTGAAGCTGCATCAGGGTCCTGGTATGTTGTCGCACAAACGCTGGTGCTCAACACCAGGGGGTGTGCAGTTACCCTGCACCAGACCCTGCTAAAACATTCCACACTGTGACTCCTAGCTTCAACATCAGGCATACTGGGTCCCAGTCGTCCGACCGCCGCCCAGACAGTGTCTGGGTCCCGGTCACCGGACTGTGAAACTGCGAATGGCTCGTTAAATCTGTTTTGGTTCATTTATTGCTCCATCTGTTACTTGGATAACTATGGGAATTCTAAAGATAATACATGCGGACGAGTGCTAGGGGACGGCCGCTCCGCTTTTGCACCCTGCTCCCTCTTATGCTGTGCTGGTGCCTCTGTGCAACCAGCGCCTCTTCCTCCAAACTGCACACGTCACTCACATGACCTTGATTCCATGTGGGGTCTAGGACCTCATCATCCTCTACATCATCTTTCACCCACTCCTTAACCCTGCTCTCATTGCCGGTCTGCACACTGCAGAAAGCCACAGCAGTTGGCACCTGTGTTTTTCCAGCATGTAAAGTCTTCAAAGGACATATGGAAATTGTTTTAGAATTGTACCCAGGCAACAGTTTTCCCTATAATCTGACCTCTCAATTTGACTTGTGAGGGTATTGCCCCCGAATTACAATATTGTTATATTGGTAGTTGACGCTTCTATTTGACTCTCAGATATGAAGAGCACGCCCAAAATGTACTATTTAGCAGTTTAGTAGCAAAAAAATTAGAATGTTTACAACTGCGTTCTAAGCGCACTATTTGACGCTTCTATTTGACTCTCAGATATGAAGAGCACGCCCAAAATGTACTATTTAGCAGATTAGCACCCAGAAAATAAGAATTTTTACAACTGTGCTGTAAGCACACTATTTGACGCTTCTATTTGACTCTCAGATATGAAGAACAGGCCCCAAAATGTACTATTTAGCAGATTAGCACCCAGAAAATAAGAATGTTTACAACTGCGCTGTAAGCGCACTATTTGACGCTTCGATTTGAGGGTATTGCCCCCGAATTACAATATTGTTATATTGGTAGTTGACGCTTCTATTTGACCCTCAGATATGAAGAGCACGCCCAAAATGTACTATTTAGCGGTTTAGTAGCAAAACAATTAGAATGTTTACAACTGCGTTGAAAGCGCGCTATTTGACGCTTTGATTTGACTCTCAGATATAAAAAGCAGGCCCCAAAACGTACTATTTAGCAGATTAGCAGCAAAACAAATAGAATGTTTACAACTGCGCTAGAAGCGCACTATTTGACGCTTCTATTTGACTCTCAGATATGAAGAGCACGCCCAAAATGTACTATTTAGCAGATTAGCACCCAGAAAATAAGAATTTTTACAACTGTGCTGTAAGCGCACTATTTGACGCTTCTATTTGACTCTCAGATATGAAGAACAGGCCCCAAAATGTACTATTTAGCAGATTAGCACCCAGAAAATAAGAATGTTTACAACTGTGCTGTAAGCGCATTATTTGACGCTTCGATTTGAGGGTATTGCCCCCGAATTACAATATTGTTATATTGGTAGTTGACGCTTCTATTTGACCCTCAGATATGAAGAGCACACCCAAAATGTACTATTTAGCAGTTTAGTAGCAAAACAATTAGAATGTTTACAACTGCGTTGTAAGCGCACTATTTGACGCTTCAATTTGACTCTCAGATATGAAAAGCAGGCCTCAAAACGTACTATTTAGCAGATTAGCAGCAAAACAATTAGAATGTTTACAACTGCGCTGGAAGCACACCCCACTAATGTACTTTTTAGCACCCAAAAAAATATATAGAGGCTGGGTCACATGCTGCACTGGCCAATCACAGCCATGCCATTAGTAGGTATGGCTGTGATGGCTTCTAAGGGCACACGAGTCAAACGCTTGTTGATTGGCTGCCCTGCAGCCTTTCAAAACGCACCATTAAATCGCCGAACACCGAACTCCAACCCGATCATATAGTGATATGTCCGTGTTCGGGTCCGGGGTCAAAGTCAAGTCTAGTAATAAAATCTTCCATAGAAATCAAATGAGGGGTTTGTGCGCTTGAGAAAAACTAGAGTAAGCATCTTTGCTTCAGTTAAGTTTAAAGAAAGCTATATGGACAAATAACAAAGCAAACAAAGTGGGCAATGGATGAACAGTTTTGTTTCATAATTTGGAGTTCTGCTAATGGCACCAAAAACAGAGATGATTGATGGGAAAAAAAGAATATTGGGGCAAAGTGGCTACCCAAGAAAGTGAGCGGACGCATGGAGTAGGTGTTCCATGGTTCAAGAGGTTTTATCGTTCATTCCTGTAGACCTACCAACCCAAATTGCCTGATAGGAGAGGTACCTACCAAAATCCACACAAACTATTTGTATGAAACAATGTCAAAACTATGCCAGAGACTGACCCTTGTTTATTGTAAAATTGATATGGTATGTTATAGTGTGTTTTTCTCGGTTATACTGTCACTTTTCTACTTGTTACTTTTGTGATGTCAAATATCTCAATTACTTTTGTAAACATCCCGATTCTGTTATGATGCTGACTTTTCTGTTTGTACAAAAATCAATAAAAAGAAAATATTTCTATCTATTTTTTGTTTAGCATAGTAGGGGAGCAGTTACCTTTTACATGAGGCATTGTTGTCAAGTTATTTTGGGGATTACCTCCATATACACCCTTTCAGGTTTCAATTTGATGGCTTATGGCAGTAAGCAGAGTCTCACCGACTGGACTCTCTATCAGTCATAAATGGCAAAATAAGTTGAGTCTTACTGGCCAGACTCCATTTAAGTCAGAAATGGCAATGAGGATAATCAAATAGACCAGAGGCTTTGTAAGTATTGACAGTGAAGTAAAGCTGACAGTCTAAAGTATTCATTGGCCAATCCTGGCAGCAAGGTGAGCCTGCCAGGCCTTCGCTTTTATCAGACAGTATTCTGTATAAGGTGAATCTCATACACTGGAGTCTATCTCATTTAGTGCTATATTATATATTCCTAGTGCTATAGTGTTATCCTAACTCACTTGCCTCATATCCCACAGCATGCTGGTCTTTGTTCCTGCCGCTTCAGCCAATACAATGCTCTATATAAGAAGCAATTGAGTGAATGACCACGTCTAACTTATTATTGGTTATTGCAGCAAAAGCACCTCCAGTGGTTGTCAGGAAGACAACTGAGGTGCAATGAAAACAATGTTGTTTCTATAAAACAGCAGCATTCTACATGGCAGGGTTAGAATGGCACGGGCAGTGCACCCATGCTACCTCATTGAGATGAAGAGGTCTGGGTGTCTTTAGCGTTGCATAAGTCTAACACAGTAGAGTCTCTCAGCCAATACTGATAGTAAGGTAAGCCATACAGATCACATTTTGTTTAGAATGGAGTCTGCCATAAAAAGATAATGAGTTAATTAGACTTTTTACATTAATCTCAATATCATAGTGCTCACCTGATTTATTGTACGTGTCTATAGTAAAACCGAACATTAAAAAATAGCATATACCGAAAGGAAGACATAAGAAAAATTCAAACTTTAAATCATCAAATCATTAGGTCAAACTAGCCAAGTTGGCTACTTTTCTGAACAGGCCATTTAAAACCTTATTCTTATATCTCAGTCTTCAACTCATCACAGCATAATCAATTTACACAGACCCATTCATCAGGCTTCCTCCCTCTTTTTTTCAAAGGAAAAGATTGGAATGCCACACAATCTTACAAGCATTTCCAGCATGAATAGCACAGCTTCTCGGGTTTTGTGAAATAATTTAGCTGGGTTAAAAAAAATGTCAGTGTCTGCACATCTCTATTGGATGTTTACCATAAATTACATTGTTTTGCTGAAGATATTAAAACACTATAAAGGGATCTCTCTTTCTTTCACCTTCAGCTTCTCAATATGTTATTTTAGTTACTTGTTTCATTTCAAGAGAGATTAAACTCCCCTTTAAATCATAGAATAGTTCTATCTTCAGAATAATTTTGCAAAGCGTTTCTGTCTGCTTTATCTCCCATTTCATTTCCTTTAATGCCCACACAAGCTGAGATTCACACAGAAATGTCACTGTTGCCTTGATGTATAGCTGTGTTATATACATCAATAATTTCCAAAGCCATTGCACTCTCTGGTGATTGAAATTTCCAAGATGATATCAATGGAACATAAAAGATCTAAAAAAGTGACAGATTGTAAAGGTTGTACCTCAGCAATCTAATTCAGTGTCATCATGGCTTCAAATAACTCAAAAGCATAACCTGATAAGTAATCTTGCAGCCTAACTGGCTTCTGAAAAGCAAATATGTGAATCCCTGCTGCAAATCTATGAAACGCCAAGACGTTTTTGTTTATTGTATGATGGTATGCAAGGAACACGGGGAAATTGAGTATTTGAAGGCTCCAAAATAAATACATTTGTCCACTGTTGGATCAAGAAAAAAAGTTGTTATTAGTCTGTCAGGTAGACCTTCTTCAAACCTTAATATTCGGGGTAAACCATAGAAACCAAGTAGGAAAATACTGGCAATATTGTCGTTTTTGCTTTAAAGCAAGCTTCCCCAAATTCCGGCCCTCCACATGTTGCTGAACTACAATTCCCATGATTCTCAGCCTATCTATTTCATTCATGTAATCATGGGAGTTGTAGTTCAGCAACATCTGGAGGGCCGGAGTTTGGGGAAGCCTGCTTTAAAGCATGGGTAGGCAACTTTTGGCACTCCAGATGTGACAGACTACATC